AAGAGTTTTGCTATTAATGGAGAAAGCCCTGAAAGTCTTGACTTTTTTCTGAGCAATGAAAGCTCAGGAAGAAAAGCAGGTCAGACTAGCCAGTACCTACACTGGGTACCTTCAAAGAAGTGCTAAGTGGCAAGGGAAACAGAATTAACGGCCAAAGAACCCTACTAGATGTCTGAGGGGTAAAACAAGGCACTCGGAGATCTGCCCAGAAAAGATTTCATGTTTATCGTATGCCATGGAGAGTTTTTGCCCTACCCATGCTGGTTCTCTTCAGCTGAAGTCTGCTAGTCAGCTGGCGGGCAGCATCCTCAGGCACGGCCACCGTTTACAGAATACAGCAAATCTACTGGAAGCAATGGCTGTAACTAAACTTTAACTTGGGTTCCTCTGGTAGGTCTTTGGCCTGTACCTGTAATTCTTAACTCCCACCTACGGGCTGAACCTTACCACAGCCTCAACCCTGGCCACTGAACGAGCAAGGTGTCCTCCTCAAGGGAGGCTATCAGTGCGTGGCTGTATTTCCCGCCAGCAAGGAGAGAATACCAAGGTTAAGAAAACAGCTTTCAGCTGTTTGGTTTTTTTCCCAAATGTAATTCAACACAGCTGAATGGCTCTGCTGGCAAGGAGAGGGTCCTCCCCTGCCTCAGAGATTGCCGCATTACACCACCTGCACATGAGGGGCAGCCCTGAGGTTCATTGCTCTAAGGGGAGCAATTTTCAAGAGGAATTAAGCTCTCAACAAGGCAACTGCTGCTGCACCGTCAGACTCCCACTCTGTCCCTCTACCTGCCCTTTAAAACAAAAGGGCTGCTGCAGGAGCTGGGCTCATGCCTTGTCTGTCTTCACCCTCTACATGGAAAAACTGGGAAGGGCTCCTGGGTCCTTCCCTTGCCACTAGCCACAAATTTTAACATTTTGCAAGTTGCAAACAGGACATGATTAAAAATGTGGGACTGAACCTGTACCAGAAGGTGAAGAAATTAGAAGAGCAAACCAAAAA